CCCGCGTCTGCCGTCGGCGGCTTCAAGGACGCCGGCCCGGCCCTGGGTCTCGTGCCGGACTCGATGGTAGGTGCGCGCGGGCGGGGTGCGCCAGCGGGGGGCGGCGAGCTGCTGGGACTGCGGGGAGCACGCGGCACGGTTCCCCGGGGCGTGCGGGTCGGTGCCCTCTCCGCTCTGGGGGTTCTCGCACAGACTCCGGGGCTATTTCCGACTAGAGCCCCTCCTGGCTTCGGGGTTCCGGGCGGCGAACCCCGCCCTGGGTTAGCGAGACCCCCTGCAACCTGGGTCCAGAGCCTGTGAGTTCCTCTGCCGGGCTCGGGGCACTAGGGGGTGCGGGAGGGAGGACGCTTGAGTAATGAGGATGTCCTAGACCCCAGTACTCCCCAGATTCGGGGATTAGGTGGGAGGGAGGGCCAGGAAAGCTGGAGGAGAATTCTGGGTGGAGGCTTCCATGAGGAGAAGGTATTTAGGATTAAGAATACTTGGGGGCCGGGACAGGGCAGGACAGCTGAGGTGGGCACCCCGGTGTCTGGTGGCGCAAGCTGAGAAGAGGAAAGGAATGGAGAAGTGAAGGAAAGAAGGGGTTCAGGAAACTCCCAGCGCGCCCGCCCTGGCTTGGGATGGCCAGGAAGCAGGCAGAATGAGCTAGAGTGCTCGGCCTTGGGGCGAGGCAGGCGGGCAGCGAAGCCCCCTCCAGCTGCCTGTCTCCCCTGCACTGTTTTTGCTTTTCCATGTGGGAAGTGAGAACCTTGGTCCTGTAGGTTGAAATTGAGCAATTTGAGTGGACTGGACACACTCCTGAGGTCTTTACGTGCAGACTCTCATTTAATCTTGTGGACACCCCCCTTTTACAGATGGGGAGACTGAGGCACGTGGAGGGCGGACACAGAGGGGCAGAGCCAGCATTTGACCCCAGGCCAGCCTGTTTGGCTCCATGGCCTGACTCTTTGCCCACTAAGTCTAAAGGGCGTGAGACAGGGGAGCCGCACTCTGTCAGATATCCCGACTTCCAGTTCAGGTAACAGAAAACAACCAGCTTTCGGGCCAGCGTTGCAGCTTTTAGCTCTCTCCCTCCCTCCTGTGACGCTCACCTGGAGTCCCTCTGTATCCCGGCCAGCCCGGGCGCGCTAACGCCTTCTGTGGCTGAAGCGCCCTTGATCCCCAAAAAGGTAACAGCCACAGAGGTGACTACGCAAATGGTCACACAGCTGCAGGGGACCGTGTTTGCATCCAGACAGCTGTCAGAGATCCTGGGGTACTGGGCCTTGTGTCCACTTCACAGCTGTCTCTGCCTAGGTCCATGGCCTGTGAAGAGCGAGACCCAAGTGAAGCCCAGGTGGCGAGGACTGTCACACGAAGGTTTCAATAGATTGTGACATTCAAGATGGACGTTTTTAAAAAAGATTTATTTATTTATGCACACAGAACGAGGGTGCAGGCCAGAGGTGCAGGGGCGGTGAGAGGGTTCACCAGAAGCAGAGCGGGGAGCAGAACAGGCAGATAATAAAGTACACTGCTGAGGGGAGCAGTGGGGAGACAGGAGAGGTCTGCTGGCCAGGGATCGAATTCGTGGTGAAGCAGCTGTGACGAGCTTCATGGTGCTGCGCTTGAACCCATTGCACCACCAGGGAGGGCCCAAGACAGACATTTTATCAGTCTTAAGATGTAATCTCCACCTCTGAGACAGTAGTCATCTCACGGCCTTTTCTTTCTCACGGAACTGGGGAACTCACGTAGAGTGACGGTCCCTGTGGTGTCCACGGCAGCTCGGTCAGAGGCACCACGACAGAGCCAGGCCGCCGCAGGTGTCTTTTCCGGGTGTCTCTCTCTTCTGTTCCACAGGCTCCCCTCTGCCTCAATTGCTCCGAGCTCCCCGGAGATCTGCCCCCCGGGAGTGCAAGAAGCCTGTTGCCCTGCAACATCAGTAGGTGGGGAGCAGACTTGAACCTGACGGACGAGCAGCTGAGGCTCAAGTACCTGGGGCCCCAGCAGACAGAGCTGTTCGCACCCATCTGTGCCACGTACCTGCTGATCTTCGTGGTGGGCGTGGTGGGCAACGGGCTGACCTGCACGGTCATCCTTCGCTACAAGGTCATGCGCACGCCCACCAACTACTACCTGTTCAGCCTGGCGGTGTCCGACCTGCTGGTGCTGCTCGTGGGCCTGCCCCTGGAGCTGTACGAGATGTGGCGCAACTACCCCTTCGTGCTGGGCGCCGGGGGCTGCTACTTCCGCACGCTGCTCTTCGAGACTGTCTGCCTGGCGTCGGTGCTCAACGTCACCGCCCTCAGCGTGGAGCGCTACGTGGCCGTGGTGCACCCACTGCGGGCCCGGTCCCTGGTGACGCGGGCCCACGTGCGCCGTGTGCTCAGGGCCATCTGGGGCCTCGCGCTGCTGTGCTCGCTGCCCAACACCAGCCTGCACGGCATCCAGCAGCTGGAGGTGCCCTGCCGGGGCGTGGTGCCCGGCTCGGCCATGTGCACACTGGTGCGCCCACAGGCCCTCTACAGCCTGGTCGTGCAGATCACGATGCTGCTCTTCTTCTGCCTGCCCATGGCCACCATCAGCGTGCTCTACCTGCTCATCGGGCTGCAGCTGCGGCGGGAGAGGCAGCTGCTGCTCTGGCAGGAGCCCAGGGGCCGGGCCCACTCCAGCAACAGCCGCGGGCTGCAGCGGCCGCAGCCTGGGGGCCACACCCAAGTGACCAAGATGCTGTGTAAGTGCTGCTGCCGGCCAGGGGCTGAGCCAGGCCCGGGTGAGGCGGGGGCTTCTGGGGGCCTGCGGGAAGGGGCCGAGCACCCGGTTTCCGATGGAGAGTGCGTGTGATGCTCGGGTCACCCAAGGGTGGGGTGTGCACGCTTGCATGCCCTTGTAGGGTACCTTGGGAGGAACTCACACCCATGATTAATATTCATGGGTCAGGGCAGCGTTGGATATATCATTTGTAGGGACTAGTACAAAGTGAAAATTTGGCATCCCTGGTTCAAAAACGTGTTCACTGCATTCTTTTATTGGGGTACCAGTGGTTTACAGCGTTGCGTGTCACTTGGCGGTATAGGTTCATCTACCTCTCTTCAGATGTTGCAACAGCACATCTACCACCAAGCGCCCATGACCCACACCATAGTCCACTGGGCCCTCACCAAAACATGACGAAGGTCAAGACAGCAACAGCAGAGTAGTAAACCAAGCCCAAGGCCCTTCTAAATATGGACCTGGTGTAAATACAGAGGTGGCAGCCCATGAGGCTGGCCCTGCCCATGCACAGAGCAGGGACATGTGGCTGGATGCCAGGACAATAGGGCGGGAACCTGGACCCTCCGGATCTGGCACCTTTGTCCTTAGCCTGTCTCAGGCCAGTCCTTCC